AAAATAATTAATTAAAATAAATAAATAATAATAAAATTTAAAAAAATATTTATTTACTTTAAAAAATAAAAATAATAATTAATTTAAAATAAATAATGCTTGTTATCTTGAAATGAGAAAGATGAGAGAAAAATGTGGCAGTAAAAGTCGGACGGAGGAGGCGGTAATAATATTCCAGGATTATTGCCAAATATATATTCAAGAATTGTTGAATTAATCAAAACTTAAATAATTTAATTATAAATTTTTTTATTAAAAATATAAAATTTTAAATTTAAATTATAAAACATGCATATGAATAAGATGGAATATAAAAAATAATTACATTTTATTATACAATAAAGACAATAAAAAAATCCAATAAGGTGGTTCAATAATTAAGATATTGATATGTCAAATTAAATATCTCAAATTTAAACTTTGAATCAAGTAAAAAAAAATTTACAAAAAGGAGAGAACTATCCCTCTTGACTAGCTTATTCAAATGTACCATGAAATAAAAATAAAGACAAAAAAATAATTGATGGAATTACGGCACCATGTGGAGACAGTTTAATTAATTTGGAGTTTGGAGTGAGCCGACCACAGTTCGAACCGCATAACACACCCACTCATTCTATTAAATCATTGAAGGTTGAAACATTAAGAAAGTACGGAGTGAATGACAAAAGCAATGACGCCATTGTTATCATGATGTCTAGGAAGGATTTCTAAAAATGAATGGCAAATTGAACCTCTTTAGTCTTTATCAAACGCGAGATAGACACACCTAACTACGGAATTGGCGTTTTGTCATTAGATTTTAGTTGAAAGTGGAATTAGAAACTTGAATCACATGATTAACACAGGCAAATAAAATTTGAGGCTTAGTTTTGATTAAAGTGCATGTTTTTAAAAGATTGGTGCTTAATGTTTAAACTTTTTATATGCATCACGTGTGTATCAAGAAAAGTCCAACCCGTACCAAATTGTCAGATTCTTCCTCGACGTTTCGTTGATTTCACATGCCTCCACTTTCTTACTCTGTGTGTGCTTTCTTCATTTTTCATTCTTGGTAGTGGTTATATGATCAATTCAAGTGGATTTTGACGACCACGATGACGACAGTACAAACCAGGTGGGCTATTTTTGTGATCTTTTTTCTTGCGACTTCGAATTGTAGGAGGATGTAAAAAGAAGACACTTAAATGGGAGAGGAGACTTAACGGGCATATACCTTTGCAGCTTAGTTGAATAAAGTCCATGTTTTAAAAGATTAATGTTTAAGAATATGATTAGATAAAATTTAGTAAAAAAAATGTAAAGGAAAGGGAAGGAAAGGAAATGATGAATATTAATTTTATTTGGATAAATAAGATAATATTTTATTTAATTAAATAATTTAAAAAATAAAATATACTCTTTTTATTCATTTTT